GGCGGAGCGTACTCCGGCTGGGGGATGGGTGCCGGGGGAGCGTAGATCGGCGAGGAGATGGGCGCTGGTGCTGCCAGCGGGTAGTTCTGGGGCGCCCCAGAACTGGCCGCAGCCAGCAAAAGGCAAGCAAACACCTGTAAACAAAGGAGAACGTTAGGTTAGTGGCAATACAGTGGGCTGTCATATGGCAGCAGTCGTGGTGCAAAGTATGGCACATATAACATGTTTGCAGTGAGTAAAGTTATACAGGGTGGCCCTGGTCCACAGACCCATTCCTTTATTTTGCTTATACTGTACCGGATTCAGGCGTGCGGCCGGGTTGCATACTTGCACCGGGCCATATGATTCGACGGCGGGCTAGGGTAGTCAAGCCCGCCCACACGCCTGCATCCGGTACAGTATAAGCAAAATAACGGAAGGGGTCTGTGCACTACCCTGTATACCGGGTGGGTGTCACAGCAAACACGCCATTGTTCCTCGTTTGCCTACTCCCTCCGCACGTAGAGGCACCATTGCCCCTGCTACCCAATAGGGTATGCTAACCCGCAACACTGGGGTGCTTGTTCGGATGCACCCGGTGTACCAAAGCCATTCTGTCATATTATAAGAATCCGTGAACACGACGTGGCGTTTATGTAGCACTTGGTGACTGCGTAGCCGATTACACTCGATAGTGCGAGCAGAGCTCGAACGAAGCTAAAAGTTAAACCACACGAACAGCTCACCTTGAGGTGCATGTTGCCTCTTCTTCGCAGATCAGAGAACTGATGATTGGCGAGCTACCCCGCGTGGCTTTTATAGCGATGACAACAGGTCGTCTCCGCCACGCTACGCCACGCCACCACCACCACCAGCCACCGCCGCTCCCTCCAACCCTCCACAGGGAAGTACCACCCCCTCCCCAAAGCAGCTGGCACGCTGGGGCGCTCCCCGCTCCCCCACCCCAACACAACAGTCCGGCCCGCGACAGCCCGCGACTGCACGGCCGGAGTCACGTGCGCAGGAGCAGGGAGGGGTGGAGTCGCGGGTCGCGGGCACCTTTAGGTAACAGTTTCGATGATCGCGTCCGGCTCGCGGCCTAAAGCTGCCCGCAGGTGGCGCTTGGGGCATGATGCGTCGGGGTATGCTTACTACAGAAAACAAAAAAAGAAAAGAAAAATATATTGCAATACCACAAAAATTTGTCATTGTGAAACACTACTAGTGTGGTTGGGGCTGAGCGTCTGGATTTTTGGTTAGCGATTCACTTTTTTCTCGGCAGCGCCTAGGGTCATAGCTAAGTTACTGGGAAACCCGACTAAAATACTGTGGGAACATCCGCTGGGCGCTTGTGCTAGTGGAGATGTAACCGTTTCGGATGGAAAAAAAGGGGAGAAGGGGGGGGGTGTATAGGAGAAAACAAAACGCGAAAATTTGAGACAAGTATTAGAACGATATTGACATCGCAAGTTCGTCGATTTTCGAGTCAGGAAAGCGTTGGCCGTAAACCATCCT